ACCACCAACACCACCAAAACAACCACCTTGACCACCACCACCACCACAGTATGACCACTTCCACACCACCATGAACTACCACCACCACCACCACCATCACTATGACCACCCCCCACCACCACCCACCACCACACCACCACCACCACACCACACAACCACCACCATACCACCACCACCATGACCACCACACACCATACCACCACCACCACCATGACCACCACCACCACATGACCACCACCACCACAAATATGACACCACCACCACCACCCATGACCACCACCACCACCACCACCACCACCACCCAGACCACCACTACCACTATGACCCACACCACCACCACCATGACCACCACCACCACCACCAACCAGCCACCACATCACCATGACCACCACCACCACCATCACCACCACCACCACCACACCACCACCACTATCCACCACCACCACCACCATACCACCACCCACTATGACCACCACCACACCACACCACCACCACCACACTATGACCACTCCACCACCACCATGACCAACCACCCACCATGACCACCCCACCATGACCACCACCACCATTGACCACCCACTACCACCACCACCACCACCACCACCACCACCACCACCACTCGACCCCACCACCACCACATACCACTACCACCACCACCATGCCACCACCACCACCACCACCACTGACCACCAACCACACACCACCACCATCCAACCACCACCACCACCACCCACCACCACCATGACCACCACCACCACTTACCACCACCACCACCACACATGACCACCCCACCACCACACACCACCACCACCACCACCACCAACATGACCACTTCCACCACACACCATGCAACCACCACACACACTATACGACCAAACCACCATGACCACCACCACCAACCACCATGACCACCACCACCCCCACCACCACCCACCACCACCATCACCACCACCACCACCACATGACCACCACCACTATGACCACCACACCACCACCAACACCACCACCACCACCACCACACACCCCACCACCACCACCAACACCACCACACCACCCACCACCACCACCACCACCACACCACCACCACCACCAACACCACGCCACCGACCACCTCCACCATGACCACCACCACACCACTATGACCACCACACCCCACCACCAACACCACCACCACACCACCACCACCACACCAACCACCACCACCACCACCACCCCGACCACCACCACCACCACCATACCCACCACCACCACCACCACCACACACCACCACCACCACCAACACCACACCACCACCACCACCACCACCACACCACCAACCACCACCACCACCGCCTAAACCACCACCACCATGACCACCACACCACCACCACCACCACCACCACATGATCACCACCACCAACACCATACCACCACCACCACACACACCACCAACCCCCACACCACCACCACCACCACCACCACCACCACCACCCACCCCACCACCACACCACCACCCACCACCACAACACACACCACCCAAACCACACCACCCCCACCACCACCACACACCACCACCACCACCACCATGACCACCACCACCAACCACCCACCCACCACCACCACCACCACCACAACACCCCACAGACCACCACCACCAACCCTACCACCACCACACCACCACCACCACCTGACCACCACCACCACACCACCACCACCATGACCACCACCACCACCACACCACCACACCACCACACACCACCATGAACCACCACCACCACCATGACCACCACCACCCACACACCACCACCACCACCACCATTGACCACCACCACACCACACCAACCACCACCCACCACAACCACCACCACCACACCACATGCCACCACCACCACACACATGACCACCACCACCACCACCACCAGACCACACCACCATACCACCACCACCACCACCATACTATGACACCACCACCGACCACACACCCCACCATGACCACCACCACCACCACCATGACCACCACCACACCACATGACCACCACCACCACTGACACCACCACCACCACCCATGACCACCCACCACCACCACCACCACCACCACCACCACCACCACCACCACCACCACCATGACCACCACACCACCACCAACCACCACCACCACCATGACCACCACCACCACCACATGACCCACCACCACCCACCACCACCACACCATGACCACCACCACCACTATGACACCACACCACCACCAACACCACCACCCCACCACCACCACCATGACCACCACCACCACCACCATGACCACCACTACCACATGACCACCACCACCACCACCACCATGACCACCACCACCACTATGACCACACCACCACATGACCACCACCACCATCAACCATGACCACCAACCAACACCAAAGAACACACCATAACCTACAACCACCCCCAACAATCATAGAACTACCACCAGGTGACACCAAAATGACCCACACACATGACCACACACAGACCACCTCACAACACCACGATCTATGACCATCACCACCATACACACCACCACCACTCATGCCACCACTAACCACTTGACACACCACACAAAGACTCAACACACCAGCATACCAACCACCACCAATGAACACGCAGACACCACCACCATGACCACACCACCACTATGACACTCACCACCATGGACCACACCACCACCACCACCATGACCACCACACCACCACTATGACCACCACCAACATGACCACCACCAACCACCACCACCTACCACCACCACACTATGACCACCACCACCATACCACCACCACCACCACCATGACCACCACTGACCACTATGACCACCCACCACATCACCACCACCACCACACCACCACCACCACCACCACCACCATGACCACCACCACCATCACCCACCACACACCACCACCACCACACCACCACTACCACCACCACCACCACCACCACCACTACCACAGACACCACCACCACTATGACCACCACCACCAACCACACCACTTGACCACCACCACCATGACCACCACCACCACCCACCACCACTATGACCACACCACCATGACCACCACCACCACCATGACCACCACCACCACCACCACCATGACACCACACACACCACCACACAATGACCACCACCACCACTATGACCACCACCCCACCACCAACCACCACACCATGACACCACCACCACCACCATATAAACCACCACACACCACCACCACCACCACCCAACCACCACCACCACCACCAACACCACCAACCACATTCCACCACCACCACCAATATGACCACCACACACCTCACACGTGACCACCACCACCTGACCACCACCACCACTATGACCACAACACACCACCATGACAACACACACAGACCCACACCACCACTATGACCACCACCACCACCACCACTTGACCACCACACCACCATGAACCACACCACCACCACACCACCACCAATGACCCACCACCACCACTATGACCACCACCACTATGACCACCACCACCATCACCATGACCACCAATCTTTAAAAAAAGAAGAGACAGACACAGTATTAAACTACAAACCAGTGTCACTGACATGTATAGTATGCAAAGTGATGAAGAAGATTATCCACCATTGGTGGAGCACCTAGAAAGGAATGATCTCGTCAACGACAGCCAGCACGGGACAGGAAATCCTGTGTCACAAACCTACTGGAGTTCTATGACAGGGTGACAGCAGTAACACAAGAGAGAGAGAGAGACAGGGGCGGGTAGATTGCATTTTCTTGGACTGTAAGAATACTTTTGACACAGTTCCACACAAAAGATTAGTGTAAAAACTGGAGGACCAAGCAGGGATAACAGGGAAGGCACTACAATGGATAAGGGAATACTTGTCAGGAAGACATCAGCGAGTCATGGTACGTGGCGAGGTGTCAGAGTGGGCACCTGTGACCAGCGGGGTTCCACAGGAGTCAGTCCTAGACCGGTTTTGTTTCTGTTATATGTGAACGACAGAACAGAAGGAGTAGACTCAGAAGTGTCCCTGTTTGTAGACGATGTGAAGTTAATGAGGACAATTCAACCAAAGAAGGACCAGGCAGGACTAGAAAGGGATCTGCACAGGCCGCAGGCCTGGTCCAGAATCTAGCTCCTGGAGCTCAACCCCACCAAGTGCAAAGTCATGAAGATTGGGGAAGAACAAAGAAGACCGCAGACAGGGTACAGTATAGGTGGCCAAAGACTACAAACCTCAACCGAGGAAAAGGGTCTTGGGGTGGGTATAATACCGAGCACATCTCCTGAAGCGCACATCAACCAAATAACTGCTGCAACATATGGGCGCCTAGCAAACCTAAGAATGGCATTCCGACATCTCAGTAAGGAATCGTTTAGGGCCCTGTACACCCTGTATGCCAAGCTCTTATTCGAGTATGCAGCACCAGTTTAAAGCGCACACCTGGTGAAGCACCTAAGAAAATTAGAGAAAGTGCAAAGGTTTGCAACGAGACGAGTCCAGGAGGTAAGGAGAATGTCCTACGAGGAGAGGTTAAGGGAAATCGACCTGACGAGTCTGGAGGACATGAGAGATAGGGGGGATATGATAACGACATACGAAATGCTGAGAGGAATCGAAAAGTGGACAGAGGCAGAATGTTCCAGAGATGGGACACAGCAAGGGATGAGCCGCAGGGATGTTAGGAAGTATTTCTTCAGTCACAGAGTTGTCAGGAAGTGGAATAGTCTGTGAAGTGATGTAGTGGAGACAGGATCTATACATTGCTGTAAGAAGAGGTATGAAAAAGCTCATGGAGCAGAGTGACCTAGTAGCGACTAGTGAATAGGCGGGGCCAGGAGCTGTGAATCGACAGCTGCAACCACATCTAGGTAAGTACACACACACACACACACACAACATAATATAAAACTAATTCAATCCTACAGGGAGGAGTGAGCATCCTGTGGGAAGGTTCGAACAGACACAAGACAGCCACTTCTGCAACGCCTCCTAGGAGTCTAGCCATGGTGCCTGCACCTCCTAGCAGCCTAGCCATGGTGCCTGCACCTCCTAGCAGCCTAGCCATGGTGCCTGCACCTCCTAGCAACCAAGGTAAACAGAAACAAAACACTATCATTCTGGTGACGAATTTTGAGACAATGTTTTGGCTTGATACTTCGTCATGTCAGAGGCGAAAGTTATCTTAAGATTTATCTTTCAAGTCTCAGAGTTTTGTGAGTCAAGATGCGCCAGCTGTGCCAGACTAGGCCTCCTAGCATCGCAACTGGACTAGACTAGGCCTTCTAGCATCACAACTGTGCTAGACTAGGCCTCCTAGTATCACAACTGCGCTAGACTAAGCCTTCTAGCATCACAACTGTACTAGACTAGACTTCCTAGCATCACAACTGTACAAGACTAGGCCTCCTAGCATCACAACTGTACTAGACTAGACTTCCTAGCATCACAACTGTACTAGACTAGGCCTCCTAGCATCACAACTGCACTAGACTAAGCCTCCTAGCATCACAACTGTACTAAACTAGGCCTCCTAGCATTACAACTACACTAGACTAAGAATCCTAGCATAACAACTGTACTAAACTAGGCCTCCTAGCATCACAACTGTTCTAGACTAAGCCTCCTAGCATCACAACTGTACTAAACTAGGCCTCCTAGCATCACAACAGCACTAGATTAAGCCTCCTAGTATCACAACTGTACTAGACTAGGCCTCCTAGCATCACAACTGCATTAGACTAGGCCTGCTAGAATCACAACTGCATTAAACTAGGCTTCCTAGCATCACAATCGTCCTAGAAAACGCCTCCTTCCAGCATCACAACTGTACTAAACTAGGCCTCCTAGCATACAACGCACTAGACAAGCCTCCACATACAACCTACTAGACTAGGCCCCAAAAAATCAAAAACTGCACTAAAGAAGGCCCGCTAGCATCAAGACTGCCTAGAAATCCCCAGCATCAACACGCACTAACAGGGCCTCCAGCTCAAAAACCGAACTAGACTACCCTCATAGCAACAACAAAATGCACTAAACTAGGCCTCCCCAGCATCAACACTGAACTAGACAACCCATAGAATTAACCCGCACTAACAGCACCAAACACAACACGCACTAAACCAGCCTGCTAGCACAACACTGCACTAAAATTGAAATCCTAGCATCAATGCTGCACAAGCAAGGCCTCCAAAACATCAACACTGCACGAAAATTGGCCTCCCTAGCATCAGCACTGCACTAAACAGGCCTTACATCAAACTGCACTAACTAGGGGCCCCCTAGCATCAACACTGCCTAAAACCCGGCCTCCAAAACCATCAACACGCACTAAAACTAGCCCCTAGCATAACACTGTGCTAAACTAGGCCTTTTCTCGCAACCACTGCACAAAAACCCGGCCATTTGCGTCAAAACTGCAAAAAACTAGGCCCGTACACAACACTGCACTAGACCAGGGGCCCGGGACATCAAAACGAATTTTACCCCCAGCACAACGCTCATTAAACAGCCCCCCTACATCAACGCTGCATTAAACTAGGCCTCCTAGCATCAGCACGCCAAACTAGGCTCCATACATCAACACTGACTAAACTAACCCCTAGTACTAACACGCACAAACTAGGCCCCCAACTCCCCCGCACAAACAAAGGGCCCGCTAGCATCAACAAACTAAACTAGGGCCTTTTTTTTGTCAAAACGCCAACCCCGGCCTACTAGCATAAACACGGGGAAAAAACTAGGGCCTCTTAGCAGCAACACTTCACAGGGAAAGGCCCTCCGCATTAAAAACTGAAAGACTTAATACATCAACACGCACAAAAAAAAGACCTCCTAAAACCCGAACACTGCACAGAATAGACCTCCTAGCATTAACACTGCACTAGTCTTAACCGCTACCATCAAACTGCACAAAAATAGGCCCCTACCATCGACACTGCACTAAACTTTACCTCCAGCAGCAAGCGAACTAAACTAGGGCCCCCTACATCAACACTGCACTAAACCCGCCTCCTACATCAACCTGCACTAGACAAGGGCCCCTACACACAACTTACTAGACAAAAAATCCTACACACAAATGTACTAGACTAGCCGCCTACATCAAACGCACAAGACTAGGCCCCTTTGCTCTACAACTGTATTATCTAGGGCCCGGGAGCATCACAACTGTACTAGACTACACTCCAGCATCAACACTGCCTAACTAGCCCTACTTTAAAAACTCAAAAAACTGGCCTAGAACCACAACACTGCACTAACTAGGCTTCCTAGCATCACAACTGCACTGACGGGGCCCCTAACATCCAACGCACTAACTAGGCCCCTACGCACAACGACTACACTAGGCCCCCTAGCATCAAAACTGCAGACTAGGGCTCTAGCATAACAAATGTATTAGTCTAGCCCCTACATCACAACTGTACTCACGACTCCTACATCAACACTGCCCCAGACAAGCCTAGAATCAACGATCACAATCCTTGCCTCCTCACAACACTGCAAAAACGTGGCCTCCAAACAAAAAACCACAAACTAACCTCCGCATCAACCGACTAAAAAAGGCCGCAGCCCCAACACTGCGTAAACTAGGCTTTCTAGCACAACTGCACAAAAAAGGGGGCCCCAGCACAGCACTGCACTAAACTAGGCTCACAGCATCAACACTGCAATAAACAGGGGCCCCCCATATACCAACACGCACTAAACTAGGCCTCCTACATCAACCGCACAAAAAGGGCCGTCTAATGTCAAGCTGCACTAAACTAAGCCTCCTACACTAAACACTGCCAAACTAGGGGTCCCATCAACACTGCCTAAACTAGGAGTTCTAGCACAACACGCTCTAAGCAAGGGCCCCTAGCATCAACACGCACTAAACTGGGCCCCCTAGCACAAAACTGCGCAAATTGGCCTCCAGCATCAACACTGTAAAGACTCCCAGCATCAAAAACGCACAGACTAACCTCCTAGCATTTAACACTCACAGACTTACCCCTAGCACAAGCTGCACTAACTAGGCCTCCACCAAACCCGCAATCAGTCCGCAGCATCAACACTGCGCTAAACCTGGGCTCCTAGCTCAACACAGTACTTAACAAAACCCCTATCATCAACACTCACAAAAATTTGGCTTCCAAACATAAAAAACTCACTGAACGTGGCCTCCCAAAAAACAGCATGCACAAACTAAACCCCCTAGTACCAACATGCACTAAACTTTTGGCCTCAAAACTCACCCTGCACTAAACTAGGCGTCCTAACACCCCCCTCACTAAACTAGCTCCTAACATCAACATGCACAAACTAGGCCTCCAGCATCAACACTGCGCTAAACCTGGCCCCTACCATCAATATGCATTAAACTAGGCCGCTAGCATCAACACTGAAATAAACTAGGCCTTTTTTCTTTAACACTGCACAAAACCTGGCCAAAAGCATAAACACTGCAATAAACTAGGGTTCTTAGCAGCAACACGCACTAAGGTAGGCCCCCTACAATTTAAAACTGTACAGACTTAATAGCACAACACGTACAGACAAAAACCCCCTAGCAAAAAACTGCAAATAGAATAGACCTCCTAGCATTACACTGCACAAAATTTTGCCGCAACCCCCCCCCAAAGCTCACTAGACTACTCCTACCCCGACAAACTGCCTAGAGCAGTCCTGGACAGAACACTGCACTAAAATTTACCCCTAGCATCAACCGCACTAAACTTTACCTCCTAGCGCAACGCGCACTTAACAGGGCCCCCTACATCAACACTGCACTAAACCTGGCCCCTACCATCAACACGGGGCAGACAAGGCCTCCTAGCATCACAACTCTCTAGACTAGGACTCCGACATAAACGCACTAGACTAGGCCCCCTATCATCACAACTGTACAAGCAAAACCTACATCACAACTGTACTAGACTAGGCCGCCTAATCACAACTGCACAAGACTAGGGGCCCCTTTGCTCTACAAAATGTATAAGTCTAGGCCTGCTAGCATCAAACTGTCTAGACTACACTCCAACTCAAAACTGCACAGACTAGCCCAGCTTTTAAAACTGCCTAAAACTGGGCCCAAACCATCAAAACGCACAAACTAGGCTTCCAACACAACCACTAACAGCTTCCAACATCACAAACTGCACAGCTAGGGCCCCCTAGCGTCCCCCAAAGACACACTAGCCTCCTAGCATCACAACTGCAGAAGACTAGGGCTCTTACAAAACAAAGATTAGTCTGGCCTCTAAACACACAACCGTACTAGACTACGACTCCAATCCAACACGCACTAACTAGGCTGTAGAAAACAAAGAGCACAAAACCCTTTCCCCCTAGCACAACCTGCAAAAAACGGGGCCTCCTAGAATCAACAAAGCACTAATCTTTGACCTCCTAGCATCAAAAAACGCAGCAACTAAACTAGGCCTGCCTAGCTTCAATACAATCACTAAACTAGGCTTTCCTAGCATCAACATGCACTGAAAGTGGCCTCCTAAGTCATCAGCACTGGCCTAAACTAGCTCCACTACCTCAACACTGTCAATAAATACTAGGCCTCATAGTAACCACACTGCACTAAAACTAGCTCCTACATCAACACTGCACTAAACGTGGCCGTCTAAATGACAACGCTGCAAACTAAGACTAAGCTCCCTAGCACTACACGCACTAAACTAGCCTCCTAGCATCAACACTGCACTAAACTAGCGTTTAAGCATCAACACTGCTCTAAGCTAGGCCTCCTACATAAACACTGCCACTAAACTAGCCACCTAGCCAATCAACACTGCGGAAATATAACCACACAATGCAGTATTTGTTTTTATATTTCCATTTGTGTATTTTTATCCATTTATTTTCCATTTAGGTATAGGTTGGTAGACAGCAACAGCAACCACCCAGGGGAAGTACTACCGTCCTGCCAGATGACTGTGAAACAAAAACCTGTAATTTGGTTTTTTGGCATGATGGTAGGATTGCTGGTTTTCTTTTTCTGTCTCATAAACACGCTAAGATAACAGGGATATCTTGCTACACCTATTAACGACTTTTGGTCCACACTCCCAACACGCACATGCATATATATATAT